GAAATCTTTGGTCTGTTCTCCCCCCCCTTCCGGGCCCGCTCGACAGCATGCCCTTTTTATGTAGTGAAACGAATGTGGATCAAAATCTTCCAACCTTTGGTAAAATAGTAGTAAGATGGTAATATTCTCTGAGTGACCGTGTTGGCTAGGAGGTACGTATGTATGGATTGTCCTATGATTCCATCCCATCCATCGGTTAACGGTGAAACGCTGGGGGGACTTGTTCCCGGAATTTATTTCTCAACGGGCTCTTACTGGGCCCAACTTGATTATGAGTAGGTTAGTTCGTCCATTAGGCTAGCCTGTTCTTCTAGATAATTTTGGTATTTGCTTTTAGTCACTTGTCATCTAGGTCAGTTCGACTTTTGCGCTTACAAACTAAAAAGAAGAGGGAAAAATGCTTCATTGGAATAGAATTTTATTTGAAAAAAAGAAAAAAAAAAAAAAGAAACTCGGCAATTTGCTCTGCTTTACAGGATGCATTGAGATGGTCAGGTGAAAATTAAAAGAATTTTGTTAAAAAAAATTGAAAAGCAATAGAATTTTATTCAAAAAAAGAAACAAAGCAAAATTGCTCTGCGTCTGAAAAAAATTAAGTGCATGTTCAAAGGAAAAATTAAGTGCATGTTCATGTTTTACCATAGGTCGTGTTCTCGTTTGCATTAAATTTTGTAAAATTTGATTATGAGAGGTGATTGTAAAGAATAATTTGAGGCATTGTTTGGATTGAAGTGTTTTTTATAGGTAGGTTTTTATAGACAATGCTATAATATCACACTCCAAAAACATCACAAGAAACACCCTAATCTATACAATTTCCAATACAACTTAAAAAAAATCCTACTACTTTTTCTTCTTCCTCCCACCACCACTCCCTCCTCCTTCATTGTCACTGCCATTGGCCCTCCAACCCTTTCTCCTCTCTCCTTCCCTGTCCCCTAGACCCCTCAAGGTCACGGCTGCCGCAACCAAATGGGAAAGGAGGTCTAGAGAATGAGGGAAGGGGCTAGCAAAGGAAGGGAGAGAGGGGTTGTCGGGTGGCGGTGGTGGATGGCGGTGATGGTGGGCAACGGGTAGTGATGTGTGGTGGGTTGGGGAAAATTTTAAAAATATCTTAACAAAATATTAAATTTTAAAAACACCTCGAAATACATCTATGATGATAAGATTTTCATAGACAATGTTGCAGTCTAACATAAAAACATCCCTATAAATAACTAATCCATACAGAATTTGAATTACCAAAATCCAATTTTTTGATTTATTATAAATTTAAGATTTTATGACTAATACAAAACCTATAATCTGAATGAAAAAACTAACAAGAACATCACAGAAAAATTGAATATTCAAGATCGGAATTTATAGTGTAGGGTAGTAAACTAGTTTTGCATTATAGTTGCCAAATTCTTTCTTGTTGTGCTGTCTTGAAATTGTTGATGTTGAGTCCCCATAGGGATTATGTCAGTTGAAGAAGATAAGTGGCACTCCATGTTGCGATTTGTTTTCAATTCTTAGGCTGCTACTTAGTAATGCCTACCAATTGGGTAGAGTGAAATATTGAGAAATAAAGCTTCATTTTGCCACTATGAGGTTTTGTTTGTGTTTTTTAATTCCTTTGTTTTTTTGTTTCCTACAAGAACAAGATGGAGATGGAGATGGAGGAAAGCCAAATGATGACGAAGAAAGCAAAGTTAGTTACTGGTATCGATCATCAAATTGTGGAGCACCAAGGTGAGAAGTCATTGATGAACACAAGTATCCATTTTGTTCTTAGGGATATCTCAGGACTTTTTCAATTGTTTTGTTGGTATCAAATCGACTTGAGCAGTAGTGATGGTAGTGATGTCTCTGGTTTTCAGAAATTGGAGCATCTAAAAAGTTTTGAAGTTTCTTTTGGTTCACGAGGAAACCTAGTTTAGGGTTTAGTGATAAGTGAATATTTAACATGCATTTTGTATAAATTTGGTATGAACTTTTGGTATGTTTTGAGAAGATTAAAACCATATTTGAACTCTTTTGGTGATAATTGATTAAATATTGTTTAAATGTTCAAAACTTGATAAATAAGTGGATTAATGTGTTAATTTTGTAAAAATATGAAGGATATGGATATATGGAATTCATACACGAGATGAAGAAATTGTAAGAATCGTCCTGAGGATAAAGTACAAGAGAAACTAGGAGCAAAAATAAAGGAAAAAGGAAAGAAGTGAAAAAACTGGAAATTCAATGGCACGGATCCGAGCTCGGATCCGTGAGATCAAAGAGTGATCCGAACCCTCGTCTGTACTTCTGGAATAATGTATCCGAGATTAGACGATCCGACCTCGGATCCAGCATAGGAAGTCCTCGGATCCATTTTCACCCCTCGGATCCGTCTCTCTCTTCAACAATTGGCACAGCCATTTTTCTTTACCTCTCTTATAACTTTTTCAACTATTTTGAGAGACAGAAATCGGTGGCACATACTTCTGCAACAAAAGAGAAGACCGAATGAGTTGTAGACAAAAGGAAATATTATATCTTTGACTTCTCTTACAAAATCTGAGTGGAGGAAATTATGAAGGGAGAGAAAAGGACTTTCTACCACCTTTTATGCAGAGACACAAGGAAGAAGAAAGACATAACCATACGTAGCTAGTCTTCCTTCTGGTAACTAGTTTCTCTCTAGCTAGGAGTCCTTGGAGAAGCATTGGAATTTTCACTTGTAATCATCTTGTACAAGAACATAGCAGAAATTGGAGAGTTTTACCATCAATTGGCTAAGCTTTCTTTTATCTTTCTCGTACTTGTATTTTATGATGTTTTGCATTAATAAACTTGTGAGTTTGATTGTTAAATCATTCATGAGTAGCTAATTTTCTTTATCTAGGGAGTAGATGAAACTTATGGCTAAATAATATGAATTGAATGTGATTTACATTTGTTATATCTTGTATTAACTTGTTTACTTGTGTAGCTATGATTACTTGTTATTGATTGATCACCAATAGCATGTTTATAGTTGTTATTGTTCAATGAGAATTGGTAGTAACAATGAAAACACATGAGTAGAGCTTGAGTTGTATGTTCATGAAAATAGAGATACACTTAAGTGGATTCCTTAGCATTTCATGAAAGAAAACAGAGTAGAATTAGTATTTCACCATGAAAATAGGGAAAACTGAACTACTTTAGGCCATTTCATCATGAGAATGAGACTTGGTAATTTTGGAAATAAATCTCTGGTTAAACAAGAATAATAACAAGAGGTAAATCCATTTATTTGTGTTATTTATGCCATAAGTGGAATCTACATCCTTAGATTCTTCCTTGAGTGAAATTTCTCCATTTGCATTTAGCATTTGTTAAACTAGATTTGTATATCAGATTTGCAGACTCTAGCAATATACTTTCTCTGCTCAAATTTATTGTAAGTCTAAATAACACAGAAAAATAAGTGCCTAGTACTTGTTTAATTTGCTCCTCATGGGATCGACCCGATACATACCCTATGTTACGATTTCGGCCCGTATACTTGCAGTCAACGGGTATAAAATCGAATTTAAACTTGCATTGATATAAAAATCCCGTCAAGATTTTGGCGCCGTTGCCGGGGAGCCGTAATATTAGGGCCTAATCATCTCTATTAATTTAGATATTTTCATGATTTTTATTCAAGTTGTTTATAGTTGATTTTAATAATAAAAACTGTAAAATTTCTCTTGTTTTTATTTGTGGTGTATGCACCGATCAAATCAAGAAGTTGCACTTTTCAATCATGAAATTGAGAGAACACTAAGGAGACAAAGGAGAAATACACCACATCAAGAGAAACAAGAGGTTTGGCAGCCGATAGAAGAAATCTTGATAGCATTACCATTTGAGGAAGAAATGGCGGAAAATGAACCAAATAGGCAAATTTTACGAGATTTTGCTGTACCGAAAACACAAGATTCTCAAACTAGCATTGTAAGGCCAACGGTAAATGCTAATAATTTTGAGATTAAACCATCACTGATTCAAATGGTACAACAATTTCAATATGGAGGTAATGCTACCGAAGACCCAAATTCTCACTTGTCAACATTTCTTGAAATCTGTGATATAATTAAGTTTAATAGTGTTAGTGATGATGCAATTAAACTTCGATTGTTTCCATTTTCACTAAGGGACAAGGTTAAGGTTTGGCTACAATCTCATCATCCTAACACTTTTACAACTTGAGCTGAATTAGTTAAGACTTTTCTTAATAAATTCTTTCCACCTGAAAAAATTGCTAACTCAGAATGGATATAACTAGTTTCTCTCAACAGGAAGGAGAGACATTGTATGAAACTTGGGAGCGCTATCGGGAATTGCAACGAAGATGTCCTCATCATGGTTTACCAGATTGGTTAGCAGTCCAAACATTTTACAATGGTCTCACCTATCCAACAAAGACGCATGTAGATGCGGCAGCGGGAGGAGCATTGATGGGAAAGACAGCTGAGGAAGCTCAACAATTGATTGAAGAAATGGCTACTAACAACTACCAATTGGCAAATGAACAAGGTAATACAAGGAGAACCGTATGTATGCTTGAAGTAGATACCTTGAATATGTTAAGTGCAAAGATGGATAATGTGGTTAAGATGCTTAATAGGCAAGTTGGTTCTAGTTCTAATCAAGGAGTAGTTGTTGCATGTTGTACTACTTGCGGCGGAGATCATGATAATTTTATGTGTGCTAGCAGCAAACAGGTTCAATATCTCAACAATTACAACCGTCCACCCCAAAACAATCCATACTCCAGCACCTATAATCCAGGATGGCGTAATCACCTGAATTTTGGATGGAAGGATCAAGGGAACCAACAAAAACCAGTTAATCCACCGGGTTTTCAACCAAAGTAACCACTTCCGGAGTCCAAACTAGCTTGGGAATTAGCAATTGAAAAGCTGGCAAATGTATCAAATGATAAAATTGAAAAGTTAGCCAATGCCACTACTCAACGGTTTGAAAGAATTGAAAGAAGGATGGACCAACTCACTAATATGTACAGGAATGTTGAGGTCCAATTAGGGCAAATAGCAAATGCGGTTAACAATCGCAACCAAGGGGACTTACCTAGTAAGACGGAGGTGAACCCAAGGGAGCATGTGAAGGCTATAACCCTCCATAGTAGTAAGGAAGTAGGTGGGGCACTAGTAGTTGAATGTGAGAGAGAATGTGAAAGAAGAGAGAACAAGCAATTGAGTGAGTTAGGAGAGGACGACAAGAAAATCAAAGGGAAAGAAAAGACGGAGGAAAATGAACCACAAATGAGAGATACAACACCAATTCCTCCACCGTTGCCATTTCCACACAGATTGAAACCTTCAAGAAATGACAAAGAATTTGAGAAGTTTGTCAACATTTTCAAACAATTACATATTAACATTCCTTTTGTTGATGCTATTTTGCAGATTCCTTCAAACGTAAAGTTTCTCAAGGAGATAATGACTAAGAAAAGGAAGTTAGTAGATAGTGAGACAATTGCATTAACAAAAGAATGTAGTGCCATCATACAAAATAAATTGCTACGAAAGTTGAAAGATCCAGGGAGTTTCACAGTTCCTTACACTATTGGTAATGTAGAATTCTCTAAAGCACTTTGTGACTTTGGTATAAGTGTGTCATTGATCCCTTTAACTGTGGCTAGACAATTGGGGTTGAAAGAGTTAAAACGTACTAAGATTTTCTTACAATTGGCTGACAGGTCTATTAGACATCCAATGGGCATATTGGAGAATGTGCTCATTAAAGTGCAGAAATTCATTATTTCTGTTGATTTTGTTGTTTTAGACATGGAGGAAGATGTAAATGTACCTATTATACTTGGTAGACCATTTTTGGCCACTGCAGGTACAATAATAGATGTCAAACGAGGTAAGTTCAAGTTTTAAATCGGTGAAGAGGAAGTGGAATTTGATTTGAGTAATGTGGAGAAATATCCCTCTTTTACCGATCATGGTTATTCTGTTGACATATGTGATGAATTGGCATTAGAGATGAGTCAAGTTAATCTTGATGATGATTCTCTTGAACTTTGTCTTAATGGTGTAGGCCTACAAAAGGAACAAGTTGAAGAAATGACTGAATTTTTGCAGGCACAAGTTCCTTACAAAAGGAGAAATGTATATGAGGAGTTAGGACTAAGCAAAGGGCTACCTCCACCATCATGTGAGCAAGCACCACAGTTTGAGTTTAAGCCACTGCCTAAGCACCTCAAATATGCATTTTTTGGAGAAAAAGAGACATTGCCGGTAATTGTCAATGCAGCACTGGATGAGGAACAACTAGACAAGCTCTTACGTGTTCTAAGGAGGCATTTAAAGGCTATAGGATGGACGATTTCTGATATCAAGGGAATTAGTCCAACTATTTGTATGCACCGGATTTTGTTAGAAGAAAATTCTAAACCGGTGGTTGAAACTCAAAGAAAGTTAAAACCAAATATGAAAGAAGTGGTAAGAGTAGAAATCCTTAAATGGTTGGATGCTGGTATAATTTTTCCAATTTCTGATAGTGTTTGGATTTCTCCTATACATGTAGTGCCAAAGAAAGGGGGAATAACCATAGTACGTGGTAAAATGATGAAATGATTCCCTCTAGAGTTGTGGTTGGGTGGCGAGTCTGTATTGATTATAGAAAACTGAATGCAGCTACTAGAAAGGATCATTTCCCTCTTCCTTTTCTTGATCAAATGGTAAAAAGATTGGCCGGATATGAATTTTATTATTTTTTGGATGGTTTTTCAGGATACAATCAAATAGTCATTGTACCGGAAGATCAAGAGAAAACAACATTCACTTGTCCTTACGGCACTTTTGCATTTCGAAGATTGCCTTTTGGACTGTGCAATGCACCGGCCACCTTCCAACTATGCATGATGGCAATTTTCTCTGATTTTAATAAGAAAATTATGGAAATCTTCATGGATGATTTTTCTGTATTTGGATCTACTTATGATGATTGTCTTAACAACTTAGATCTAATTTTGCAAAGATGTGAAGAAACAAACCTTGTATTCAATTGGAAAAAATGTCACTTTATGGTTTGTGAGGGTATTGTGCTAGGCCATAAAATTTCTTCAGAAGGTATTGAGGTAGATCAAACCAAGATAGAGGCTATTGAGAGAATGCCTCCACCTATCAATGTGAAAGCTGGCATTCGCAGCTTTCTTGGACACTTGGGATTGTATCAGCGAGTTATTAAGGATTTCTCCAAGATTGCTAAACCTTTATGTGAATTACTTGCAAAAGATGTTCCTTTTCACTTTAATGATGAGTGTTTACTTGCTTTTAATAGGATGAAAAAGGAACTTGTCTCCGCACCCATAATAGCATCACTGGATTGGAGCTTGCCGTTCGAATTAATGTGTGATGCAAGTGATTTTTCAGTTGGGGCTGTTCTTGGGCAAAAACATGATAAGCGACTTCATGTCATTTATTATGCAAGTAAAATATTAAATGAATCCCAAGTCAACTATGCAACAACAGAGAAGGAGTTGCTAGCAGTGATATTTGCATTGGATAAGTTTAGATCGTACTTAGTAGGATCTAAAGTTATCATTTATACCGACCATGCAGCACTCAAATATTTGTTAAATAAGAAAGATGCAAAATCTCGACTAATTCGATGGATTTTATTATTGCAGGAATTTGATTTGGAAATCAAAAATAAAAAAGCATACGAGAACTTAGTTGCTGATCATCTTTCTAGACTGGAAAACATGCCTCAAGAAGACCATTCCTCCATTAAAGAAAAATTTTCAGATGAGATTTTAATGGCAATTTATAAGTCACCATGGTATGCTGATCTAGTTAACTTTGTAGTTAGCGGAGTGATACCAAGTGATTTGAATTCTCATCAAAGGAAAAAGTTCTTAAATGATACTAAACATTACTTTTGGGAGGAACCATTCTTTTACAAACATGGTGCAGATGGAGTAATTAGATGATGTGTTCCTGAAGAAGAGGTACATAGTATTTTAATGCATTGTCATACTCTTGAAACGGGAGGTCATTTTATGTGACGCCCCGAAAAAAAATGAGTTTGAGAACCCGGAAATTTTCTAATTTTCTAGGGTTTATTTTTTTAAACGCCCGCCGTTTCTACATTTTCTTGATTAGAAAAATTTCCCAGATAAAGTTTATGAGCAAATATAGTTTTTAAATGATTTTTCTAGTATCGGTTAGTTTGTGAGAAATTAAGAGTGTATACCGGATGTGGGACCCACTAGGGCGAAATGTTCAGAAAAATTCGGCCAATTAGGTTAAGTTCCGGATACTGGGTGAAATTTATCGGGTGTTAAGAGATAAGTAGAGGATGAGATGTGATTGATGTGAGAGGAAAAGAAAGGGATAGGAATGCATTGAATGAGTGACAAGTGTCACCTTGTGAGTGGTTGAAGCCTAAGACAACTATTCACCTTTTTGACCTTTCTTACCCTTGGATTAAATATCTCAAAAATTGACCAAAAATTCACTCTTTCTTTCTCCATGTTGGCCGGCCACCTTAAGCTCAAGAAGAAAGAAAACCTCTCCAATTTTAAGCTTCCAACTAGCTCAAATCATCCAAACCAATTGCTGAAATTTGTTTCTACTCCATAAAATCCTTCCATTTGGTGTTAGTAAGTGATTTTGTGGAAGTGTTCAAGGAAGTTAAGGTGTCCATTAACTTCTCTTCTCTTTTTTACTAGGTAAGTGGTGATTGAACTTCCTCCTACACTTAATGAAGTTTAAGATGTGCTTAGTGGTAGCTAAAGTGCTGAAATTTGTGGCTTATTTCTTGGTTTGAGATGAATTGGTGAAGTTTTCAATTTATTGATGAATTTTCTGGTTTAATGTGATCATGATGTTGTGGTTATTTATGATGGTTGGTAATGAGGGGTAATGACTCTAGTAGGTGTAAATGATTGGTTATTGCAACCAATTTTGGGTTTGGAAGGAATTTGAGAAAGTTAGGGTTCTTGGTTCTTCATTCTGTCTGAAATTTTAGGTCCTAGATAGAGGCCGAATTGGCCTTACCTCAAAACATGAAAGTTGTAGGTATTGATGTTTTAAAGGTGCCTGTAAAATTTCAGATCAATTGGAGTATTTTAGAATGAGATAAGACGAAATTACTATTGCTGTTCTGGGTTCATCAGGATGTTAGAACTGCGTCTGAAATGGGTTGTTTTGACTGGAATTGTTTTGGATTTGGGTGTTGAGGTCTTCTTATGAAATGTAGCTTGATGTCCTAGCTACCATATGCCTTTGGAATTTCTGCATTCGGACCTGTATAGACTGAGTTGGACTAATTACAGCATAGTGTAATTTGTAAACCTGCAATTAAGGTTCTGGTTTGGTATTTTGCATATTTGACCTAGTTGTGCTAGGATTTGGACTGAGTGGCCTTCTACATTGTTGTATCCCTATCTCTTAGCTTCGAAACGGTGTATCTTGCACCTTCATCCGACCATCGTAGTGCTTTTGGCACCATTACCGCAAAATGACGTAAAACTGTTTTTCTGGTTTTGAGCTTAACTTTCATTTCCGGACTTTTCCCTAGCTTGACTTGTCTTTGTACTACTTGGAGCTTGCTGAATGGCTATTGGATGAACTTGTTGTTGTGTGTGTATCTTTGGGACTGGCTGAGGAAATAATGAAGCCATGATGGCTGGAAAAGTTAGCAAATTCAGGGGAAGTGCTGTCCGAACTTTGAAGGGACTTGTTTGCATTGGGTTTGTGATCTAAGACTTGGGTTTGAGCAAGGCAATGTTATATGATGGATGATTTCTGAGCCATTGAGGTGAGTGACCCTAAACTATTTCCAAAGTTATTTGTGAAATGTTTCTTGCATTATTTACTCGATGGCATTTCATGCGTGCTTGCATGTGAATTCATGATATGATTTTGGCTTCAATGAGTTCTGGGAAAGTCTTGTACTGGACACCAACGTCTCCACTCTATTTATGGTCATGTTCATGTGTATCTGGAGCTCAAAAAGGGGCTCTCTCTCTGTTAATATTAAATGATCTATTTGAGCGTTGGGTGTTCAAATGCTATGATTTCACTGGCTCACGAGAGCAATAAACGTACATTTGATCTTGGAATCATGACATCATTGAAATGCATTATTGTGAAATATATTTGATTTCTGATTTTACTGGTTACTCGCTGAGCTTCTAGCTCACCCCAAAATATTTTATTCCCCTCCACAGGGCTCAAGGCAAAGGAAGGACTTGTAATACTTGTTCACGTGACTGGATGGCTTAGTTGGAATTGTTATATTTTGTACAATTTGGATTTGGAATCATTTTATGTATAGTTGAGAATTATTTCCGCTTCGCTTTTGATATGTAATTTTTGGAGAATTTGATGTAATATTTGAGATTTATATTGCAATTTATTTGAGGACTTTAGTGAACGACTGAGTCCCGGCGAGAGCTGGGCAGGCGGCCCGCCGAACCCTCTGGTTCGCCGTAGGGGGAGGTGGGGCTGTCACATTTTAGCACAACTAAAACCGTAGCAAAAATATGACAATCTGAATTTTATTGGCCTATTATGTACCGAAGTGCTAGAAATTGGGTTAAAAGCTGTGATCAATGCCAAAGAACCGGTAATATCTCAAGAAAGAATGAAATGCCTTTGACTACATATTTGGAAGTTGAGTTATTTGACGTTTGGGGTATTGATTTTATGGAATCATTTCCTAGTTCATATAATAATAAGTACATCCTATTAGCAGTTGATTATGTCTCTAAATGGGTAGAGGCCATTCCTTCACAAACTAATGATGCTAAAGTTGTGCTTAAATTCCTTAAACGGAACATATTTTGCAGGTTTTGAGTTCCAAAGGCAATAATAAGCGACGAAAGTAAGCATTTTTGTAATAAAATTATTGACACTTTGTTGTTTAAATATGGATGCAGGCATAAAAAGTCACTCCCCTATCATACTCAAGCCAATAGTCAAGCGGAGTTGGTCAATCGGGAAATTAAAATCATTTTGGAGAAAACGGTCAACCGATCGAGAAAGGATTGGTCAAACAAGCTTGAAGATACTTTGTGGGCGTATAGAACGAAATTTAAAACGCCGTTGGGAATGTCTCCATGTAAATTTGTTTATGAAAAAACGTGTCATTTACTTGTAGAAATAGAACATAAAGCTTATTGGGCCATTAAAAATATTAATTTTGATTTTAAATCTGCAGGTGAAAAGAGAATGTTCGAGTTAAGCGAATTGGAGGAATCGCGGTTAATTTCGTATGAGAATGCCAAGATTTACAAAAAAAAAAAAAGTGAAATTTTGGCATGATAAACACATTCTTCTTAAGCATTTTGACGAATGGCAAAAGGTGTTATTGTTTAACTCAAGACTTAAATTATTCCCTGGAAAGCTTAAGTCTCGATGGTCCGGGCCATTTGAAATGGTTCGTATGTTTCCTTATGGAGCAGTGGAAATAAAAGGAGAAAATGGTGCCCCATTCAAAGTAAATGGTCAAAGATTGAAACTCTATTTGGTTGGAGAAAAGGTTCCTAAAGGAGTAATTTACTCCTTAGGAAACGCAATGGAGAGTTAAAAAAGTTGTAGGAGAGTCGAGCCAATGACTATAAACAAAAGCACTTGTTGGGAGGCAACCCAATAATAATATTGTAGTTGTGATTTTTCATGTGTTTCTTACATCTTGGTGTGATTTCATTGATTAATTAGATATATTTCACTTGTTTGTAGGAGGTACCGGAGTTTCATCATCCATCTTGGAAGTACAATTGAAGAACAAGTGTAAAAAGGGAGGTTTTCATACCAAATTGTGTTTTAAGTGTTTAAAATTTCCATGCATATATACATTGTGCATTTCAAGTATATTCAAGTGAGTTTTGGTGATAACATGGTTATAAATGCTCATGCACTCATTTAATGTGCATTTAGTGCCCAAAATACCATTTTGGTGTAAAAGTGCAAAAATGATCAAAGAACCTCACCCCTCGATTTTCAATGAAGATGTGTTTGATGTATTTTGAGAGGTTGGACATTGTGTTTATGGTATATTACATGTGTGTGGGAGATTGAAATTGATAAAAATTTGTCCAATGTGTGATTTGGAATTGGCCGGAAAAGGGAGAAAAAGTTTGAAAAATTACAGTTTCTGCAATTAGTGCAGAGAAATACTGTGACGACCCCACCGCACCCAGAGGCGTACCAAAGGGTTTGGCGGATCGCCTGCCTAACTCGCGCTAGGACTCGCTCACTCACATTACCTTCAGAAATAACATTACTATTGGACAACTGAACATTCACTCTTAAGTACATCTCCAATCATAAATTTGTCCAATAAAAGAAATAAAATACCAAAAGATACTATTCACATTTATACATCTCCAAAAAGTACCATTTACAATATGTACATCTTCAAAAGGGACATTTCAGTCCACTACATCACACAAAAGCGAAGACTAAAACCACAAAGTGGATCTTACGTAGAGTCCTAACCCTAACTGTGAGAATAAAGAAAAACATCCTAGTAAGTCCAACTAGTATAATTTCAAAGGTAAATTCTAGGGTTATAACTCTCGTGAAGTGTGATCCCCGCGTACGACCCCTGTTAAGGAAATAACAAAGAAAAACGGGTAAGCTTAAAGCTTAGTAAGCAAGCAGGGGCAAAATGGTAATTTTGCATCAAGTCAGACATTTATGCCACAAATACATCAAAATAAAAGCAAAAGTAACAAAACAATTCAAGGATACGGATTGGCTCCAAAGCCAAGTCATTCGCCACGCGTGATCACCTGTCGACCCTCCATCGACCACAAGGAATGGTCCGTAGAACTCCGCTTTCTTCCTCCGACCACCTTACGCCCACGCTGGCCAGTATCCACACACACACAAATGGCTCGAGCTTCGAATCTTATTCGAATTGTATTCACAAAATTGGTGATCTTAAGGATAGCTTGGACTAACTTCGACCAAGCCCTAA